CGAGATCCAACTCGAGATCCAACTCGAGATCCAACTCGAGATCCAACTCGAGATCCAACTCGAGATCCAACTCGAGATCCAACTCGAGATCCAACTCGAGATCCAACTCGAGATCCAACTCGAGATCCAACTCGAGATCCAACTCGAGATCCAACTCGAGATCCAACTCGAGATCCAACTCGAGATCCAACTCGAGATCCAACTCGAGATCCAACTCGAGATCCAACTCGAGATCCAACTCGAGATCCAACTCGAGATCCAACTCGAGATCCAACTCGAGATCCAACTCGAGATCCAACTCGAGATCCAACTCGAAATCCAACTCGAGATCCTAACTCGGGGTTTAGTTTATCTCCTATTTGTCGGGCACTAGACGTCTGAAGCTTTTACGTCATATACGGTGATTTTATCATAATGCGCATTGCGGGATCAAAAAGAAATCCGTCATTCGGTATATGACGTAAAAGCTTCAGCGGTTTATTCGCATTAGGTAAGTYTCCTGTCTGAATTAATCTATAAGAATTTGAATTTCTAAGTTTCTTTCTCTTCTTAAAAAGCAAAGCAAGCGAGCGAAAGTGAGGAACGCACATGGGAACGAGGCTAAGCTATACATGTATGTCATGATGTCATTCAARGATCTCAGAATTTCTCTCAGAAAGTAAAATGTATAATGTCCTTCTTTCTTAGTATTCAATATTTTTATACAGTCGAACCTCTATTAAGCGGCCTTCTATTAAGCGGTCACACCTCTATTAGGCTGTCACCTATTAACTTCCCGAAATTTGACTCTAACATTTACTGTAAACTTGACTTCTATTAAACGGTCACCTCTATTAAGCGGACGCGGTCACCCTTTTGACTTTCCCAACTGCGCATTCTCATTGTTATTTGCCTTTATTAAACGGTCACCTCTTGTAATTCAGGATTAAAATCAGCTAAGGGAACGTGAAAAATACTACGAAAACCTGAAATGAAAAACGTCAGTTTACATTGTAATTCTGTAGTTGCATTAACTAGAGTGGCCTTCGGCCCGCGCGAGCGGAGCACCATAACTAAGGAAAAATGGTAAACCCATTGAGATGATTTTTGATCAACCGACACAGGAATCCCAGTAGTCCTTCCGTACGTTCGTCCGTCCGTGTACATCTACTGTACTTACTATTTACAGTATATTTATTTTATAAACTAAAATTATCAACCTTGTATTTAGTGTTTATATTCCTTAAAACTATATTACGTGATGAGTTTCGCCATTTTTTTTTACATTTTTTGCCACGTAAAAAGCTAAATTTTTGGCAACCTCTATTAAGCGGTCACTTGGTTTTTCCCGAGGGTGACCGCTTAATAGAGGTTCGACTGTATTTATATAGAAAAAATGTCAATAATTCATTTTCTATACTTTACACTGAAAAGGTCACGTTTGATCACTTGCATTGTGCTTTATGCTGTCGGTAACATATTAAGTCATATTCTTTTATCCATTTCTTTCTAAAAATTATACCAATGCAAATTAGTTGCAGAAGACTTGTGACCTATTGTCAAAGTCGGTCAATTATTGCAAAATGAATATTTTTAATTGGGTGCAAGCACAAAAAGGGTGAAAACCAAAACGTACTGTTTCGTTAAGAAATTCTGTAATTAATTATAAATGGATTACAAAATAGAAAACAAAGGAATCCGAATAATTCAGTACAATTTAGCAATATTTGACTACCAAAGTTTTCATGGTTTTAGTGTTTGCACTCTTGTAAAATGTTGCAGAAACTTTAGACGCGCCGGTACGATTAAGCCGAGGGTCCAGTGTTAGATTTCCATCGATCGATAACCCTTCGTGACGCCATGATTAATAGTAACACGCCAAGACTTAAGAGAATTGCTCCAACGAYGATAACCGCCAAAAATGCTACCGTCTGTACTCGGTATTCAGGTTCTTTGTCCGGGATAAGGTTTGTTGCATTAATCATAAAACCAAGGGCCCAACCTAAGGAAGTACCTTGAATCTACACACCAACAGATAAAAAAAATGACATTTCCATGCAAATAGTAAAATATTTAAAAATATTCTAATTAAAATTCTTTTGAAATTTCAAATTGAAATGTATGGGACAGTCTGAACATGCGCAAGTCGATTCCTATTTTCCAATTGTCATCCCACATCGACGTATCATGATTAACAAATAGATCTCATTTTTCCGTGCTTGTGTGTACTCTAATAGATATACACAGATGACGTCAAAATGTAGTGAGAACAAAAARGTACGCACGAGACGCAGTCGAGTGCGTGACTGTTGTTCTCACTACATTTTGACGCCATCTGTGTATCTATTAGAGTACACACGCACGGAAAAATGAGATCTATCTGTTTCATACAACAAACAATTAGTTTTGACGTAATCCGTGTATCTATACTTTGATAACACACGAAAGCCAACCAATCAAAACGTCTGATTTTACTGAAAAGTTGTATAAACTTTGATAACACATGAAAGCCAACCAATCAAAACGTCTGATTTTACTGAAAAGTTGTATAAATATCAATACTTACTTTGTTAGTAAAGCGCACTTGTGACGTGTCATCATTGATATGGTAGCCTTTTSTTAGGATAAAATAAATATACTGGGCATCAAAACAGACAGTCTTGAACACTGTTGCTTTTTTTGGTGGTTTTCCTTTTATTATCTGATGAGAAAGTATGTATCATTAGATTCCGTAGTCAGGCCAGTTATTAGTGAAGTAGGGAATTTTGTTTGTGCGTATCCGCTAATCGTGATCGTAGACTTGAAAGCACATATAAATGATCAAAAAGGAGAGTATGCATGTCCATTGTATCGTTGCATTGCACCATCGATATCCTAAGGAGAATGGGTAACATTATGGAAATAAGACGAAAAGACAGCCGCAAACCTACGATCGTTGACAAAATCCTTGGACAATTCCAGAGAATTTCAATTTTAAGCAACAACCGCAGACAATTTCATCCCCCCTAACCCCCTAAATGCAATGCTGTCATTGAGTATGTTACTATAGTATACAACCATCCAGAACAAGACCCAACATTGATGAAAGGGGGCTAAGGGGCAGAACTGCGAAAAAATAAAGGAGAAAAATGTWATGCTGTAAACATATAACTCTATGGTCCAAGGTTTTTTGGTTACGATTGTACGTTTATACACCCAACTCCATATGCGGAAGAAATATTAATGTACACACACCAGTCTTATTTATGTATCACAAATAATKCAGATCTCTATTTGGGAAGGTAGGAAGTCCCGCTTAAAACCAAAAATTAAAAACGGGGCTAGCCTATTTAACTGTTGTACAACAGATTTGGTTCGGCTGCACGCAGGCTAAACGGGGCTTTCGACTACAGTTCCTCTACCAATAACCGGCAATATCATAGAATTGAATGACATGTGTCCATGATGCTCTAAAACCATATCTTTAYGTGGGGAGGGAAAATATTTCACCTGTGACCAAGATTGCCCACAAAACGTGTCTGCTGTTTCTTTGAGTTTTGTGAGTGTTATATTACCATTCCCTGTCAAATTAAGATCATCTACCATATAGTAGTAGCTTGAAAACGCCTGAAAAATAAAACTCAAATCAAAACAGTCCGTTTTCACTTCGTACATCTTCGTACATAAGCAGCAAGCCCCGCRGTCGAATGCTTAACCACACTTCGTGTGTTTGTTCTCGTCAATAAAAAAAATACTTCGAAATACCCTTAGCTGCTTTCGACACTTCTACTCAAAGTGAAATAGGTGACCCTTTGMCAAAATAACCGCCCGTCTCATTAGTATAATTTTTCTTTTCAACACAAGACTAAATGACTTAAAGTTACATCTTCAAAAGTTCGGTAGTTTTTCCTTGAAAATCCATATAGATAATTATGAAATCACAGAAAATGTATGGGTTGGGATATGGCTTACACCGCAAGACATACATTTCTGTGAAATTATTCCGTTTTGAAAAATTCCTATGATCTCTGCGAGATTGTACTGTGATTAGGTTTACACAGCTGTTAGGTTGAAAAAAGGGCAAACTATGCTAATGAAGGGCCTATTCCCTTGCCGGCATCAGCACCAATGGTGCATCGGGTAATCCCACTAACGCCGCAAATTGAACGTCACTTAGTACCTTTCTTATAATGTAATTATGACGCTAAAAATCGAATRATCTAATAACAGGTTCGCGCGTTTTCTCTGTTGTATCAAAACAAGCTTTCATAAACGAACATTAATAAATACAGTTTATAATATAGATTTCTAAAATATTTAGGATACTACGCGCGCTGTGATTGGTCGAAAACCATGTTTGATTACAGTATCAAAACACGCTCGCGCACGTCAAAAATTTATTTTTTTCTTTTAATTTTAGAAAAGAAATAAAAGACGAAATTTCGTGTTTGATACTGTGATCAAAACACTTGGGATGTAGGGAGAGCACTCGAAAAGCTGGAAACCACTCCGCTACGCGTCGTGGTTTCCTACGCTTCTCTCGTGCTCTCCCTACATCCCGCGTGTTTTGATCAGAGTATCAAACACGGAATTTCGTCTTTTATTCCTTAAGTAATAGTACGCGCGCTCTGATTGGTCTAACAGCGTGATTTATTTCGCCGGTAAATGCACGCTCGCGAGCGAATGACCCCTTCTTGTACTTTTTTTCAAGATGCCCGACGCCCAACTTCCTACGTTTGAGTTTTCAATTGGCGATTACTTCGACAACAACGACGAAGAGTTATTAAATGCCTGTATTTCAGCAGAAGTGCAATTATCAGAAACTAAAGAAACAGAAAATAGTGAGAATAAACGCAGTGCAGAAGTAGAAAGTAAAACAATTACAAAATGGCAGCCAAAACAACAGCAAAATAGCATGAATCGCTTGATTTAGATTTTCTTAAGTAGCTCTCAGACATACAACTACGAATAAGTTGTAAATATTCTCCCTAACGTAGTGCAAATATAGAAACAAATCAAATTCCTACACAGTCGACAAACCATAGATTTTTGTCCATGTAAATTCTGCCAATTGAAACCAGGTAAGCTTACTACAAGCTAAAGTTTGAGTTGAAAAACTGAGTAAAACTTATTAACGAGAAGAATTAAACACGATTCTTTGAATTATATAATTTGACTTCCCTTAAAGCTATCTTAATCAGTTAGCGAAGCGAGCTGCATGACTAAACATTTTCCACAGAAACACAAAGTGAACAGTTTGTGGCAAGTTTGATTTAAGCTTATTTTTATTCAATGTGTCTACAAAACAGTTGAAAGAAAGGATTAAAACAAGTCAAATGATAGTACCGCTTCTCGAAGAGATACCTTTTGAAGTAYCTTTTGATACTAMAAAAGGTATTTGYTTACCAAAGACTCAAATTGAAAAGCAAACGACAATTCTGTACTAGTTAAAATTGTTTGAATTAAAATTCAAAACACATTTTAACAATTCGCAGGCGGTTTTCCATTGTCTGTACTCTTATTGACAATGAAATTGACGTCAAAATGCTCAAAACTCAAGTGGAACCACGAGCGTAAGCGAGAGATTTTCTACGCCTTTTTCGTGTTCTCCCAACATCCCGCGTGGTTTATTTCACCAGGAACGCACGAAAATGTGTTGTTTATTGCTTAAATAAACATTCCTTAATTCATTTGGGGTATAGGTACCCCCTAAATTACTTGAACCGCTCCAGGTACATTATTAGTAAACATGACTTAAGGTGTACTTACCACAAATTGAGTATCATTAACTGGTGGTTGATAGACACTATTAAAGGAACAATTGTTTGATAAACAATTGGTAAAGTTGAACAGTCTTTTCACATAAGATATACACTGAGATACATTTGAAGTACCATAGATAGCAACATAAGAGCCATTGATATGCCAACCAGAAGACGGTTCCTTGATACATGGAGATTTTGTTATGTAATTAATAGCTATATTTTCAACAAGACCAACATTTGCACAWGGATTGGCCATGGTACGATTGATACGAACTTCATCCAACTGAAAGACAGAATTTCAWGACATGAATCATYACTAGGAAAACAGCGAGACGTGCGAGTTTCGAGACCATTACGTCACGTCCATACGGATCCAGATAGTTTGGCATCACTTTCCAGCTCAATGTCAAAATGTGATGTTTGACTAAAACTCAAATTCTGATTCAGATGTAAACCTAAAGTAAAAAAAACTCATATTCTCATCTTTAACATTCGCATGCAAGTTTATTGGTTATTTATCGGTCATCGTTTTAAGATCTGCCTCTGCAGAAAACAGAAAAGGATTCAAATGTGATTACCTTGTCATGTAATAATAAAGCCATCAGTCGTCTTTCAGCCTCTTTCTTGCCATAACACAAATAACTGTGAGTATACAGCTGATATGTCTTGCCGTACAATCTCAGTTCCTTTACATAACTTGAGGGGATAATATCAGAGTGAYTTGGAGAAAATGTAATCTGAGTTGATGCTCCACCCATGTCAAGAGAACCAACCAAGTAACTATTGGACTCGCCACGTCTTGAATTGGATAAAATCTACAACAACCAAAAGGATCATTAAATGTGGATACAGCTTCTGAAAAAATGAATCAGATGTCATYTCTGCTTATTATATGTTATGATAAGCCTGGCCTCTTCTAGAGACGCTACGAAGGCCAGTTGCGAAGATCGTGTCTAAAAGTACATACTAGTGACCRCGAATGACCACGAGTGACCACGAGTGAAAAAATGATCTTCTGACACTTCTGATCTATTGGGAGTGTATCATAKATCCTTTCGTCGCACATAATTGCGCCGTATTTCACAGATATCACACTGATTAAGAGTACTTCGCCACAAACCGTACAACCTTTTTATTCGATCTAAATTTCAACAAACGATTGATTCAAACAGCTCTAATTGTATTGTATTATTTGCCTTTGTTAAAGAATGAATGTATGTGGGTTTTTTATTAGTCATGTTATTGTTAATGTTCTTGCATTCAGGCAATCCAGATTTTTATTGTCAATGATATCATTTTTGCAAACCAAGCAAACCAGTAAGTGCCCATGTCATTGAAACAATAATTATACGTTGCAARTTGATTACATATATCTCCAAATATTGTTTTGGACGAAATCAATTGATCCCAAGTTGGACAATTTCAGAGTATATAACTTGAAGAAAATATTTGAGATTTCAGATTTTCGATTAATGAAGAAGCCAAAAAGTAATAAAATATATCATATTTATATAGAAATTGTTATGCTTGTGTTTTAATTATGTATTTTCAGTCTGTTTTG